TTGACGCCCAAAAGCACCGAGTCTGAGTTCTGCAAGTGCGCTAGTCATGAGAAGAATGCTGGTCAAGGAATGGCAGCAACCCCACAAAATGCCCTGGAAAAGGTACAAGGCCTCGAGCAGACCAATAAGGCAGAACAGCCAGCCCAAGGACTTATACTGACGCCTAAAAAGACCGAGTCTGAGTTCTGCAAATGCGGTAGCCATGACGAAAATGCGGGTCAAGCAATGGTAGCAACCCCTCAAGATACTCTGGAAAAGGTACAAGGCTTCGAGCAGACCAATAAACCCGAACAGCTCGGCCTAGGAATCATGTTGACGCCCAACAAGACCGATCCTGCTGCCCTGATCAGTGATAGCAGGAAACGCATAGATGAAGAGATTACCAGGAAACTCCAGGACACTCCTGAGAAGAAGTCGGAGCCAGCAGTTTCCGGAAGTAGCCGTGAACAGGAGCGATCAAAGCAATTACCAATATCCGTAACACCTCCGGTTCGAAATACCCCTGACATCCAGCTGGAAGCCAAAGAAGGGGAAAGAACACCGGAGATGCTTCACGCTTTTGAGGACAAGTTGATCTCACCGGCAAGAGGTCCTTTGGAGGCTCAGAAAGAGAGCCCGGCGCCGCAGCCCGTCACTCCCCATCAAGAATCAAAGGAGCAACCTCCACAGCCCACTGTGGCCAGCGCAGTGGGCCCTACTGAAGAAAAGTTCCAACAGGGAGTACTCGGAACTATAAGCCAGAGTGAGAATTCTGCAGAAAAACCTCAACAAGGAGTACTCGGAATTGTTAGCCAGGGTGAAAACTCGGCAATGTCCGCGAGAGCGAACCCTGAAAGGTCCCTCGAGGAGAAGATTGGGTTAGAGACACCTACACTGAGCAGTAGCCTGGCGCAGCTTGTAAAGCAAATTACCAGAACTCCGCCACCAAAAGCAGAGGAAAAGGTAGTGGAGCCCAAAGACGTATCACTTGGCAGCACAGAGAAGCAACCGGCTGGTGAGATCACCACGCCTAAATCAGTGCCGGCTCAAGAGACTCCATCTGGCAGTCACTCGCAGGCGCAGTCGGATCAGGTGTCGAGCAGAACTTCGAAGATGGAAAAGAATAAAGCGCAATCAGAGGTTTCCATGGGCAGGAGCCATCAGGATCAACAGCTAGGAGGGACACAAACTCCACCAGAGAAGCAGAGCCATCAACCTTTCTTGATCAGCGACAGGCAGGATCATCAGCAGGATTCTGATCTTGTGGCCACTAACAGCCATCGAGAAAAGTGGTTCAAAGGCATTGATAAATCTGAGAAGAAAGGGCTGGAGCAGGGGGTTTCAACACCAAGAAGTCAGCGTGCGCACGATGACCAGGAAGTGACCACAGCAAAGGCAAAGACTCCAGAACCGAAACCTGCAGAATTTTCACTGGCCAGCATGTTTCCATCTCTGTTTGGCCGGAGCGCATCTACTGACGAAAACACTTCTGGCTCCGATGCCACAGCGTCCAGGCCTCCAGCACCAGTCCAAAGAACGTCTTCGTTCAGTTATCCCGAGCCACCGACGAGACCAAAAGATCCGAGACGTGATGTCGTACGATTCCGATCAGACTATGCCAATAGGTACGCACTTGGCAGCAGGCACACGGTGGATTTCTTCAGCGGTTCATACGACGATGTGAGTCATTCAGTAACCATCCCCTCCGGTCTGATCGACTAAGCTAAGCTTGTTCAGGTTCAACGTGAAGCAAGAAATTCAGTGAGACTGATTGTCGTTTTCATCCACGATCCTTCTATGGAGGTGAGTCTATACTGCGGAGCTTATAAACTACAATTTATCCCGCTGCTTCGCACGAATATTATTTTTGCGCGCATAGAATCGATAAGTGCATGCGCTCCCAAGGACTGGCAGCAACTGCCGTCTGTACAATCTCAACTGAGAAAAGCCTTTAGCTCTCCTACGGAGGGGACTTGGTATCTCTTGCTGTTACCTTGGCACCAGTGTGAACGCGAAGCAGAGGATAAAAGTTCGTTGAGTCTTGCTCGCTGCAAATGAGGGGGCGTGTCAGGCGGATGGGTTTGGCGCGGGGCGAAACTCGTTTTCTTAACAATTTTTGAAGCGAGTGAGCGACAAGACCGTGTCATATCGAGCATACCAGTCGCTTTCCACCGATTGTTGTCATCACCCGCTTCTACAACCGGCGGAATGGGTTTGGCGGGAGCCACCGGCATTCCGCCTGACACGCCCCTTCTTCCGCATCAAACAAGGTTGTAACTGCCTATTTCTCTGATTGTTGAGTGAGTGCGGTACTAACGCGCATGAGGCTAGGCGCTATCAGATGGCTCCGCATTGCCGAAAAATGCTTTTCAAGGTAATAGGTTGTTCTTCCAGACAGAGGTAGGGGCAAATGCTGCACAATCACTCCGAATGTTATCACAAGAATGCTGAGTTGTGGGCAAAAGTGCCCCAGGCGGGAGTCGAACCCGCACCTCACGCTTTCCGGGCGAGTGCGCTATCCGTTACGCCACCAGGGCCGCTTTTACCCTCTCAGCTTAACGGCTTTTATGCCGTAGCCTATCAGCACTCACACGTTTAACTTGGTGAGCCGGTCAGCCGTAATCGATGGGATATCGGCATGAAACCGCGAGGCCTAAGGCTTTAGATGTTTTTGAAGCTGTTTTGTTATGACATCGGAACGCGTACTGCGGCGTTAAACAGCAGTTTCATAACAAAACAAGCCTTCAAAAACTCAGATTGGGTATTCCCAACTTGTTCGTGTGATGAGAGAGCTGACTGGAGACGGCCGGGAGCTCTACTGCTCACAGCTCGGCAACAGTCCGAAGCCTCTAAAGCCAATCTGTAAACTACAGAACAGTAGGCGATTTCAGTAAATCACGACAAGGTTCTTGATTGATATTGCCACGTGAAATTACTTAGTATGATGTATGGACTGGGCCAACCCATTCAGTGCATTCATCACATTTATGGGCCAGTGGACGTGATGTTGTAATACCAGTGCTCATGAATTTAAGACTGAGAAGATGGAGTTCGAGTTTTTAGGAATCGAGGAGGTTCATTAATGAAACGTTGAATTCGTTGGAATTTGGAGCACTGGTCAACAACCACAATCTACTGGTATGGGGAGTTGGGAACGATACGGATGAAGGAAAATATGGTGAGATACGAAATTCTCTTATATTTGCCAAAAAATGGTCAGTCGCAAGAGTTGGCTAGTTGACTCAAGATTATCCACCACTCCAGTAGCGACAATGGAATAATAGGGCAAAAGCGAGCGCCAAACCGGAAACTGTGCTGCCAGATTTCAGGGTTTCCAGTCCAAAACTCTTTCCAGAGGGCCGGCTCCCGCCCAGGTCAACCACGTAACACCAGCATCGATCCTCGCCCAGGCCAACCATGCCTTACATACTCCGGGAACGGTAAATTGGTACCAGATTCGTCTGGGAGGATAAAACACTGACTTGTACATCGGCTGGCCCCCGCAAGTCATTGTATCGGCCACATCGCATTCACTAAGTGCTGCGATTAGGAGAAGACTTAATGTTTTGATCTTTTATGTCTTTCTATATCAATAGCGTAACAGTTTTACTTGAATGCCGATCCGCGCTGACACCATTGGGCGGAGACACCACTTTATTGACAGGCTCTCTTCTTGGCCACCGCAGCGAGTTGATTCGCAGTAATGGGCCTTACTCCGCCCATACGATTAGCCGCATGCGCTATATTCTCCCAACATTTTTACTGCCGCCTATCTCTTGGAAAGTGAAAATGACATGCGTCCATGTTCATCGGAATTTCTTTTCCATTTTCCAGTTGCCTACAACCTGCATGTGAACAAGTTTCCATTTTTGAGTATTATGTGTCCACGGGCAGATAACCGATTTTTCTCGGTAGGTTTTGGCATACTATAGGCGGTAATCATATTTTTTAACCCTGAATATGTGAACCGATTTTGGCGCCTAAGTCATCGAATGATGAACTCTTCATTTTAAGGTTCGACGCATTACTGGGTTCACGACCGCTGGAGATCTGGTATCGAGATTGGAGAAGGCCATCGAAATCGTGCGGGTGGATCTGAAAGATTTACGTGAACAGAGGTATACTATTGATTGTTATTATTGATTGATTGGAGCTCAACATAACCC